CTTATGCATTCTTTCTCATAATTTACATCAGTTTTTGAGACTTAAAGGACTAAACGATTATAATAAGGCAATTCCAAATGGTTTGAAATCAAAGCAAAACAATTATATCGAAAAACATAATGAAACCAAGCTTAAGATGTGCACAGTCCACATTCTCTAACTTCCAACATCTTCCCTATTAATCATTCTTGTCTGATACTATTTCATTACAGTCAGCATTCGGATCAGATGCGGGAGCCTAATACTGCAGATCAAGCATCAATCAACGCAGGCGATAGACAATTAAAAGAGAGGAAAAGCAACATAGATAAACAATTAAAAGGGAGCAAGAGAATATACCGCATCTTTTCCTCTAGCGTTGCCTGAGTGTCTGTCCTTATATGGCCGTAGCTGTCTGGAAATTCAATAAGCAGAGGCGACGGTGATGAAGAACCAACAGTGAAAAGGCAGCTCGGGTAGGGGAGGTCTTGAACACTCGAAAACGAACAGTATCAAACCATTTGAGAAGCCTTAGCGACATCTTATACAGGAAAGAAGAGGACAGGCTCATTGATGAGCTGGCAGTAGAAGATTACTGTTTATGTTCTTCAACTAGGGGATAATCAGAACCGTATCCAGATATCAGATTACTGTCAGACTCTTCTTCTTCTGACCAAACTGGATAAATGATCTTTGTACTAGTGTTGTTCCCAAAATCATCATCTACAGATTTCTGATACAGTCCCCTGCTTCTGTCAAGAAACCCTTCATTCATCATGTTGGCAAGTTTTTCCCTGATCTCAACAAGAGGGTGCTTTTCAAGGAGATGCCGCCTATCATATGCTTCTCTGAGGATCACTGTCTGTGTATCACACTTCATAGAAATGTAGAATATACCGGGGTGGCGCTCGAATACTTTGGTGAACTTCTGGGGAAGTGCAAAAGGTTTACGAAGATTGCTCACATTTTTCCTCTCCATCTTTTTCCCAACTGTTAGATGAAGAAGTTCATGAAACACTCCGACATTCCTCTTTTCAGACAAATCAGTTCTTGGATCCAAATGGGATGCATCGACATAAGGTGAGGTATAAGGTAGGCTCTGCCATTCTTGGAGCCACTCCATGCTCTTCCTCTTGAGCCCAAACCCCCTTGTAAATTTGACCGGGAAGGCCATAGGATTGTTGTTATTTATGAACAGTTGCAGACGGGAAACAGCGAGGCCTTCATCCCAGTGCATCAGCTTCAATCCGACAAGATCGCTGGACAGCTTTACCAAAGAGAATAATTCCGGGTGGGTGGGAACCAACGAGCGTTGATAATCGTATGGCAGACCCATATCCCATCTGAGATGGTCAATGGAGTGCAGAGGAAGTGCTCTTTGACGGGTAAGCATAAGAAGTTTGCAAAGCCTCGCAAGACCATCCCCTTTGTCAAGCTGAGCTTCTTTACGGTGGAGATCTATGGCCTCAGGCGTTAAAGCGAAAGAGGGGACTGCACTATCCCGAGAGCAAAGCTCTACGAAAATGTTGGGAAATCTCCGGATAAAAGCGGAGAGCTTAAGATGTGGAGGCAGACCGAGCTGGCCACGGTGCGGGGAGAGGTGGAAGATGGGTAGTCTATAATCAGGAGAAGACGAGATAACCGAAACAAGATTGGAAACTGCTCTAACATGCCTTTCACGGACCACAACAGCATCCAGTTCCTTATCTTTTACCCATTTCAACTTCACGTTAACTAAACCAAATCTCTGCTGGAATTGGAAACAAAACCCTTGGCTCCAGGAACTAGTACAAGATAAACTCACCCTTCCCACCAACAACCACCGCATTTGCATTTTATTGGATGGAGAGAAACCCTAATACCTAATGTCAATGGCACACTCTATGACCAACTGACAAAGATTCACACCTCAATTGGAGTTTTAGTCCAAGAATTTGGATGATTCGGAATGGGAACCAAAAGCATCTTCACTGTGAAACTTTGTTCAATCATCAGGATGATGAGGAGGTGAATCATCAAGAAACGATTGATTTTTTTTTTTTAATGGGCCGGTGGACCCATATATCTATCACGTCGGGCCGGGTCGAGCGGGTTCTGAAGAAAAGGTCAAACCCGGAATATTGATTCTGTGGCGAACAACAGAAATTGCGTCTTCTACACAGTTCTCTCAAGCAACATAACAGGAGGGTTTTGCTAGGGTTTTAAACTTGCCTGCTCTGCCCCGAAAATCTCCATAGAATCTCAGCTGATCCACGAAAATGGTCCCTACCAATGGCGCAAATGTTCTTCGCTTGTTGACTCGTCGATGTCTCTCGTCGAAGCTTCTTCGAGATTTTGGCAATCAGGTTGGT